CTTTGATCTACTTCCCACAACGTGTCTCTCTCTCTCTCTCTCGCTTTCTCTGTGCCGGTTTCTCCGTTTGTCTGTGATCGTCCTCCTATCGATTGATGCAACCAAATCAGGGTAAATTATTGTTCCTAACTTCTACTCCCTCCCATGTTTCCGACCACCCACTCCCCAACCCCACGGCCGATGTATCATAGGGCTCACAAGTAATTGGGATATACAACGATTCACATGTTCTTCCTAACACTTTCCTTGTGGGCATAAAGCAGTCTGCATGGTAGTGTTCAGCTGCATAACAAACACTTGGGTTTCGTTTTTGTGAACAGTAATTGGTAGATTTTTCAACGGTTTCCTTCCTGTGCTGCACAAAGCTCTGCTTCTTTGTGAGCTAGAATCCTTCTATTCAGGTATGCATGTACATACAATTTTTGCTCATCCCTACGCACTTTCAGTGATAAACCGTTCGCGCTCGAGAGAGAGAGAAACCAGCGCTCTTTCACAAAGGCACAAACATGATTCGTCTGAGGTGAAAGGCGTAAGACCATTGATCATGAAATGTACTAAATAGATAATGCTATTTATAATAATGATTAATAAAAATAAAAATAATAACAGTAGTGACAATAAGCACACGGAGTACGTTTTGAACGAACTAGACTCCCATTGAATCATACGATTGCAGTCTTATCGGATATTGCGATTATTATTATCATTACTAGTAGTAGTGGTAGTAGCAGTATTGGTGGTGGTGCTAGTATTAGTTTTAGTGTTTCGTCAGGTGGCATAGCGACAATTGTTTGAAAAAATTATGCATTCAGTCAATGATTTTCCGCATGAAAACAGTATCAGGGAACATTGTAAGCCATAAAGAAATTTGTCATGACCGACAAAGAACACTGCACAGGTGTTCCGTCGCGTTTTGGACTCGTCTTACGTGCATTCGCTCAAGATGATGACCGTCGACCGTGTGGCCCAGGGCTAACGGTTTGAAGTCCCGATCCGAATGTTTGCGGTTTGAGTCCCGACAGGGACAAAATGTAAGCACTGCTGGTGAGTCCCAAGTAAGACGAAACAGCTGTCCAGTGCTCTTTGTCGGTCATCAAAAAATTTTCAATCGCTTGTAAACGCACTCAACTAGTGGGGACTTACGGATCTCCCAACGGATGAAGTCCACATCCGAGATCATCAGCAGTGCCTGTTGCCTGTGAACAATCGAATGGATTAATTTAAACTTACTACTCCTAATTCGGGAACTTTCTTTCCTATATCTCCCAACATGTACTCTCTCCCATGAAATCATCGTTTTCCATTTCATTTCCCTTTCGGTTCTACGATTGTATGGTACCTATTGAATTGGTACTGTTACGCAACTTTCTTCCGGCTAGCAAGAGGATAATTTAACTACGTGGTTGTCCTAATGGACTGTAGTGGTCCTTCAGAGTGGAATTACATGCGTTATCCCCGTGCCTCGAGCAACCTGTACCAGAGCAGGTTCTTTCCAACATACGCCAGTATAGTTCATTCATCTACTCGGAACAGCCTCATCGGATACATGAAATGAAATAAAAGGGTAATGGTCGGACAATTTTTCGTGGGGTGAATGCTAATCGAACAACGATCCATCGGACATTCGGAGCAGTGTCCGGTTGATCGCTCTATTCACAGACAGCCACCATTATTCCGTTCGCATATTGCGTGTTCGAAGCAGCAACAGGGAGCCAGCTATGTACCGCGTATGCGCCTTGTCATTAGGCCACTAAAAATCTTTTTTGCAAGTACACTCGCACTGATGTGAAATCGGGGGGATCATTGGCTCGTTTGAATGTAATTCTGTCTGGTCATTTTGGTCCTTTCAGCTCATGTGTGTGTGTTTGTATGTGCGATGTTTTCTGACCACCGAATATCACATATTCCGATCAACCCTATGAATGTTTTTCAGTTTCTTCGCTTCTGGAGTTAAGTTAAAACGCACACACCTAAACGTGCCTATGTGAAATTGGATTACTTCTTTCGATCGCATTCTGTTCTTCACAGTCATTTCAACAACATATGGTCGTTTGCTAACGATAACCTGAACGTCTTTTTGTCTATTTTAATTTGCTCACCTGTTATTGTTGTTCCAGTTGATCCCGTTGTTTTAAGTGTATTGTGCAACGGTCCAAATTGTGTCTCTTGTCTCTGTCCCCTTCCGTGGGCTTTCCATCTCCGGGCCGGCTGAGTCACTATTGTAGCGAGATCTTCACCTCCTTCACTCCCTCCGACCTCCAAAGAGCACATGGAGCGCATGAAGTTGTGTGTGTTTGTGTGTGTATTTGTGTGTGTATGATTGTGTATGCGCACGTGCAATATAGGCGTTTTGTCGCAGTAACATTGGTCTCTTTTCATGCATTTCACGCCTTTCAGAGAAAGCTCCGGGTTTTTCGAATACTGCTCATTGTAATATATATATATATTTATATATATAGGTTTAGTGTTCCCAGTGTCATTAAGACTATCAGAATTGTGTGGAGTTGTTCAACCAGAAGGAAACGGAAGCATCGCGCGCAAAACATATGTTGTAAACGCGCAGTCCTTGATAAAGCTTTTAAAACAAAAC